AACACTCAGAAAAAATTCCTTCGATCCGGTCGGATTCGAACCGACGTCTTCTTGCATACCGTGCCAGACGCTATACCAACTAAGCCACGGAACGAACCAACGGACCTCACGAATCCTTCTATGTGCTTGCGTCGTGTCTTTGTACTAGGTCTTTCAACGACTTTTTAGTCGTAGCGCCATCTATGAGAAATCTATGACAGATTTATCACCCAGTAAGTACCTTTACAGCTACCAGTCCTGGCGAGAGATGTCGCTATTCACTGTATTAATTAAATTTTTATTGAATTGATATTCAATTATTTTTTGTGAAATTACTCCACTAGTTTGTTATAATCATTAATACAAAGATCGAACACTCAGAAAAACACTCAGAAAAAATTCCTTCGATCCGGTCGGATTCGAACCGACGTCTTCTTGCATACCGTGCCAGACGCTATACCAACTAAGCCACGGAACGAACCAACGGACCTCACGAATCCTTCTATGTGCTTGCGTCGTGTCTTTGTACTAGGTCTTTCAACGACTTTTTAGTCGTAGCGCCGATCCGACCGGATCGAAGGAATTTTTTCTGAGTGTTTTTCTGAGTGTTCGATCTTTGTATTAATAATTATGTTAATATAATTTAAACCTTCCACTGTTGGCATATCGTTGAAAGTGCAATACCATCAATACCTATTATACTATTGCAAGTTACGACGTTTTTAAATTGATTTTTTATTGAAATTTCAATCAATGTGCTGCCATCTAGCGTTTAATAGCTGAACGACGACGACGGCTGATTTGAACGCGCCCTTATTCTACAAAAAAGAAGCGATCATACTGCAACGGTATACTGTTTACTTATGGTTCTTGTAAGAAAAAATGATTACGATAAATAGAAAATTGAAATATTATTAACATGAAATAAAATACGAAACACCATCATAGATAATATATATTACAAGTGTGACTCTCATTTTGTAATTAAAAGTAGCGAAATAAGGCGTTATTCTACGATTTTCGAGGTTTTGCGTGAGGCAATTGACACGACTATAACGTACGGTGTACAAAGCGGAACAGGCGTACTGACCTCAAGTTTGTGGAACTCCGCGAACAGTTGGCACACGTGTCATGCACACTAAGCACATCTACTGTATTTATTGTTCCATGGTCCCAACGCGCCTTTCATTATTATCCGAATGTGTGCGTCCGTACATGACGCGCTGCGGTCGCGCACACATACAAGCCGCGGTGTTAGTACGGAGTTACCTTACTTAATATACATAACTACTGCAATGCCAACTACAAATCGATTAATTATTTGAACGAATCGATTTGTTTAATCGAGTCATACTAGCGGTTTTTCTTACATAACCTATAAAAGCATATTTAAAATTTCCGAAATCTTAATTTTAAATCCTCCTTCAAATACTTACTCGTTCGATTGCGATTGAAATTTTCGATTTACTAATCGATTACAAAAACTTTAATTGAACGAACCGAATGTTTTTTCCGTTCAGCACTATGGAACCATAGACTATTCATACCCCTACAATTACAACATAACCTCGCTTTTTGACTACCGTTTCTTAAATACGATTTTACGATGTTATTCAAATGAATATTGTTGGAAAAACTGACGAGACATGAAGCCAAAATCTTCGAAATATAAGTGAAAGTGTTATTTATTCGACTTATTGAGTGACTGCTTTAGAGTTTTAAATTTACTTAATTAGGTTTGTTTACTTTTCGTCTAAAATGCATTGGAACAGACTATAGTTACAACGCAGCGTAACCGCTCAGGCATAGGCAACGCAAGCCGAAGCAACGCATTTTACCGCAAATTAATGCGTTTAATAATTCTTACATGTCTGAAAGTGGATTCCCGCTGGTCGTAAGGATGTTCCGCATAATCAAGTTTGTTCCTAATCGGACCTCTCTTGACGGTGACAATCTGGCTTTTCTTTTTCTTCTCCTTTTTGTCTGTCTTCTCTTCTATTTCTAACTTCTCCAATGCAGAAGTGACGTCATCGTCTTCTTTTGTTGTCTTTTCTTCTGTTGGGTTTTCTTTTTCTGAAAAAAAAAAAAAAATACTGTTACCACCATTGACTTACAAATAAATGGACGACGGGTCTAATACAAAAACCACGAAAAAAATGTCCCAAGTCAACCTCTTTAAACGTAGTGACATGTAAAGGAATATGAAAAAGCTAACACGTTGAATTTAAATTGTAATGTCATCGCAGTACTGTCTAATTTTGCTTGCTTCGCTGTCAGTCGAACAAACGAAGACTAAAGCGTGAATGACGCTCTGTATACGATTTTAACGCCCTATAAGTTCGGACACTTTTTAGCGCGGACCCGACGTCCATATAATTGTAAGTCAATGGTTACCACCAAATGTATTGTAATAAGAAATACCACGTCATAAAATCGTTCGCATAAAAAGTCAAACAAAGTAATCAAAAGTTTACTGCCACCTTTACCTATTTCTGCTGTCAAGCAATAACGTGAGCAATTACTGCGACCGGCTTTGAAAGGTAAGGGCGGTGGTGAAATAATAGAAATTTGTCAAATCATGTATCAGGGTGACGGGCGAAACGGCAGTCCTCAATTCTTTGCGATTTAAAGCTTGGAGTGGCATTGCTACTGTTATGGACAGGCGTGCCGCCAGGACCACGCGCACGATTCGTTCGTCCCGTAATTTGGTATCACTAAAAAATCTATTGGGTTGCCATTAAGTCTATGTTGTCACACCGGGGCCGCCACTGTTACCAACGGAATTACAGACAGAGTCAAAAGATTGTGTGCTTGTTACAGATTTTAGTAAAAAGCAACCTTTAGGGGTTGCTTGCTCATTCTTCTCAAGAGAATCTGCCTTATGAATGAGTAGTATACTCTGACCTAGAATCCAATAGATTTCTAAACAAAGAAATGTCACGATATGTCACTGTCAAAGCGACAGGTCAGGGATACAAAACAAGTTTTCACTAAAGATTAATATAGTAGTAAAATGGCGCGTGGTTTTGCTTGTGCGTTGGGTAAAATATTAAATTAAGTGCTGATTTCTATGACCAAACTTTGACACTCAAAACAGTTTGTAATAATACAAACACAACAACAAAGTTGAAAATTCAACAAAAACCAGGATGCTGCGAGAGGCCATTGAAATTAAAAAACATCGTAATTACAAGAGGGAAGATGGTTTCTCCGTACCACCAGTTTAGGATTCAGTATTTCCTCTGATGAAAAATCCCAAACAGTATAAGACTGCAGTTCTAATTAATATGTTTTAATTTATTCTAATTTCCATTATTAATTAATAATAAATTTAACTTAATAAAAAATCATATTGTTACAATAAAATAATTTATAAAACAATGTAGCGTAAATTGGAATGTTTCTTTGTAAAATTAAAACTTAAGAATAATTGAATTAATAACTTTTGTAACAATAGTGAAAAAAAGGGTGGTTTGCATTAATATTAGACATAACTGGTTGATGACTGCACCACCTCAGTCAACCGTGACCATGGGACCTGTAAAGGGCCTGAAACGTTGGTTTGTTTGAAACAACAAATATACGCGATTTAAATCCGGAAAAATAGTTTCAACAAAAACTGATAACAATAACAGACAACAAAAAGGTAACACCTAGAAACAATAATCAAAACGTCAACAACGCACCATTCGAATTAGGAAACGGATGAGAGACGAACGAACGAAAGTAAAGACAATGGCGAACAGCTGTCAAAATAAAAAATTGTTTCGAACTTCTGCTACTCGCTCCGATGATACTAGTGTCGTAAAATATTTTCTACCAATACTTCTTAATCTTTTTATAACTCTGTGAAAATGTTAACTTCGTTAAAATAAATACGTGAATTTAAGTATTTTATTGGTGTAGCAACCCCTATGTTTACATAAAATCTCATGGATTCTAGAGTATAGAGTTTAATCAATGTCAAAACAACAAATAGATTACCTTTTTTTGTAACATTGTTAATTTTCTCCGCAACTTCAATAACATCATCTTTTTTTTCGAATTCGTCTTCGTCGTCGTCGTGTGCGAATCCACTGTCCTGAGAAGACTGTGAATCTGTTCTCTCCGTCCTGCGATCATCTTCAATTACTTTACGAGTAAAACCTTCGTCTTCGTCATCTTTCTCCACGTTTTTCTTCTCTATGTGTAGTTTATCGAAATTTTCAACAATCGCGTTAACGTTAACAATATTTTTAGTTTTTTCTGGTTCCTTTTTAATTTCAACAATTTTGTCTTTTTTCTCTTTCTTGCCGAAAATATTTTTTAAAATCTTTTTTATTGACTTTTTATCTTCGGCCATGATGGTTTGTGACGTTATTTTGCTACTGCCCATATTGGAAGGCCTTCACGTGGATGATTTTAAAGGTTCATCTGGAACAAAGAAAGGGAATACGTTAAAATCTATTTATTTCATAAGTGTAAAGTTAACAGCATCAGCCTAAGCAGATCTCAAAAAGAATCCAGCTGGGATGAGCAGCTTTTGGCAAGTTACATGATATCCTTAAAGCAGACAAGATTCCACAGTGTCTGAAGACCCGCTTGTTTTGTTTGTTTGATTGTTTAATCAACATGACGTGTGGTGCCGAGACGCGGATGCTCACCCAGGATAATGATATAGGTTGAGAGTCGCACAGAGGGCCATGGAGCGCGCCATGCTCGGCATCAGCGTTGTAGACCGAGTTCCGAACGGTGAGATCCGACGATGGACGAAAGTCCAGGGTGCCAGATGCCCGGATCGTGAAACGCAAATGGGGTTGGGCAGGACACATAACAAGGCAAGGTGGTGACGGGTGGAGCAAAGCGTCTACTGATTAGTGGCCAAACGGTGGGCAAAAGAAGTGTTGGGCGCCCAGTTGCAAGGTGGATCGATGACGATGGGGCTAATCATCCATCATCCACAGCCTGAATTCATCCACTGCTGGGTATAGGTATCCCGAAGTTTGTGCCATCTAAATAATGCCTATTAACTTTGCCTTGAAAAGGCCCAAGTTATAGCGTTCAGGGAATAATAAGTCTGTAAGCAAGGAATTCCGCTTCATAGCCGTTCGACACATAAATGTGTTTCTGCCTTGGAGGTATCTGCCAACTTTCTGGTCACCGGAGGCTTCGAAGTCATTCCGTTTATGAATACATACATAATGAATTTGTAATTTGTTTTTCCTTATTTTGTAGTAGAGCAAAATAGGTTAGGTTTCCAAGAAAACCTTGTTAAAATTCATTTTATCCGTTGATACACATGCCACGATCTAGATACATTAAAGAAATAAATGAAAAATATTCCGTAGCGTAGTTTTCTCGGCATACAAATATAGTTTACTTCATGAAAATTTAACAAAACAGAAACAAACGAAAAGCTGGGTACGTCTAGCGACTTTAAACCAAGATAGAGAGATCTTTCAGGCAATTGCTGAGTATTGCAGGACCTTTTTGGTAATCAAAATTACTGGTAATCGAAAACATCCGATATAAACGATATCTGACGTCTTTACTACTGACGACGTTGCTGTATCTGTTACGACTGCATTACTGCACGAGAAGTTTGAGGAGATCGTGGAGTACGTCAGATTATAAACCAAATACAGTTGGAGTGCCGCCACAACGTGAATTTGTTCACTTCGTTTCGTCAATTCGTTTATGGTGAGAGATCTGTCGGCCTTCATGAAGGTGATTTGTCCGGAGGGTGTCGTATATCGGCGACTCCAGCTTACCTGACAATAGATTACGCCACACTTCGCCTGCAAGTGCACTTCGTGTAGATTATTTACTTGGTTTTATATTACGTTATTATATATGTTAGTTTTTAAGTAGGTCATAATTGACTGATGCAAATGAATAGATAAAAAATTAAATAAAATGTGCTGTCACACTTGACAGATGCAGTTTTAACTGACTTCAAATATTTGTTTAAATCTATATCCGTCTGCAGGGCATGGATCTGTCTTAAAAAGTGTTTTTTAAAGAACAATGTACATTGCACATATCGCAAAATGATAGTATGATGACGAATCTTGCGTCATTGTCACTTTATCTGTTTATGATACTAAAAAATAAGTTTCGATAACATTGATGATTAAGTTTTTATCCTGATAAGCCCATTTACAATCACCAGACGAAATTGTCGAGGATCGCTCGCTTATTTTACCTACTTCTTTATTAATATTCAGGTTACCAAGATCCATAAATACATACCTTATAGACTAACATACATAGCAATATAATAAAACACTAATACTTAATTATTCACACGTATTGACGTGTGATGCAACGCGGGTGTCCGGTAGCCGGCCTCGGAAACATGGGTACATGACACCTTTTGGTCAAAAGTCATCCTTCGTAAAGGTCGACTGATGTTGAGTTTGTACTGTCACCACAAATGAATTAAAATTCACGTTGTGGCGGGACTTCAACCCATGGACTCCCAAGGTCTCAAGATCTCCTCAGACTTCTCGTGCAGTAATGCAATCGCGACAGGTTCAGTAGCGTCGTCGGTATGGCCAGACGCAGCAGAAAGTTCGATCCTGTCGGTACTGTGCCACGGCTGGCGTGTTTCCTCTTCACCACCTTTGTGATGCCGTTCTAGTCGCGCTGGTCCGTCTGCCTCTGTGGTTTTACAACTTCAGAGGCAGGCGGGGATTGTTTTGCATTATTATACTATGCTTGTTCACTATATTGACTTATTGTTACATATTGTGTGAAAGATGTTACGCATGTAATAATAATAATGAAATCTGTATTTCTTAAAAACATGGTTACATAAACCAGCTAATCTTTCAAAACACGTTCAAGATTACAAAAATGTTAAAATGTGTGTGTGTGTGTGTGTGTGTGTGTGTGTGTGTGTGTGTGTGTGTACGTGTATTTAAGAGTGGTTATCAAGCAGAGCCTCAACTTATTCAAGTTTTACCCGCAATCCATTTCAGAATTTGGTTCGGAACGTGCCCTGTGTCTTGGAGCCTCCGGGGCTGTGCCGTACAGACTGACGGCCTTACATTGGTTCCGTGGCGGAAGGGCCGGTGCCTTTTGTGGTACGCTACGTGTGTCAGTACATTTGCACCGTCCCACCTGAGTCACACCACCAGATCTGCCGGGTGAGCTGCAGAGTATGCGGCAAAATTTGAAATATGCCAAGTACAGTGCCTTGTCGATGTACGATTTTGTGCCAATTGTAGTGAGAGAGGGATTTGGGGTGCGGAGGCCAAAGAACTCATCAGGGAGTTGGGTTGTCGGCTTAGAGAAAGAGGTTATATATAACAAATTTCGTTGTCTATTCAGCGCGGACCTGTTTCATTCTTATAGTTAAATAGAAATGACTAAGTCTAGCTAATTTCTTTGTGACGAAGCCTGTTGCTGATTTATATTTGTGTCTTCCCGACGAAGCCTACGTTGCGAATTGACATGATTATGTAATTAAAATACTTTTAACGTAAGTTTTAAACTTAGGAAATTATAATTTCGTTTGTTTGGAAATTGTATATCGTATACTTATACGTCATTGACTTACAATTATATGGACGTCGGGTCCGCGCTAAAAAGTGTCCGAACTTATAGGGCGTTAAAATCGTATACAGAGGGTCATTCACGCTTTAGTCTTCGTTTGTTCGACTGACAGCGAAGCAAGCAAAATTAGACAGTACTGCGATGACATTACAATTTAAATTCAACGTTTTAGCTTTTTCATATTCCTTTACATGTCACTAGGTTTAAATAGGTTGACTTGGGACATTTTTTTCGTGGTTTTTGTATTAGACCCGTCGTCCATTTATTTGTAAGTCAATGTTATACGTATTCTATTTAGTTTAGGTGATATAAAAAATAATCATTGGTATTAGAGTACCTATTGAATAAGTTTGTGTTTTTTTTTCTATCATGAAAATGTTTAGGAAATGTGTTTTCACACCGTATAGTAATCAGTGTATATCCTGAATTTTACTATATAATAATAATAATAATAAGTTTATTTTCTCACCACAATATACAAAATACATTGGCATAATATCCAAAATAAAATACATAAAACAATAAATTATACTGTGGGAGACTGATGCCTAAACTAGACGTATGATCTGTATTTCAGGTCACCAGGACTCCACCCCTTGGAAGATACTTGTTATTTTGAAATATGTACCAGTACATTGACAATTGTAGTAACTAACTTATCTATATATTAAGGTTTTACAAAGGAACATAAAAGAATATAAAAAAAAAACTGTTTATGCAGTGCTAGTTTGGTTAGTATAGGAATTGTGTATTTGTAAATATATTTTTTCGAAAGCGATTGATTCAACACCTTCACTGTTATGCGTAACCAACCAAAGCCATTTGAGGTTCCATAATCTCTTAAATGTGCACACAATCAGTATAATTTTCGAACACCGAATATCAAATATGAGTAACAATTCCCTTTATTAATGATAAGTCTCTTATCAGTCTCGGAAGTGGGTGATTTGACACTGCCACCACTTTATGTGAAGTATTTATGTACCGAGTGTCAGTGCGTCACGTTGTACAAGACAGCTTGGCACGCAATGGCGTAACGCCAACAACGTAACAAGGTGCGAAAACAACCGAATTAACTCGTTTCCAGGAAACTATTCGCGAAATTCTCTAATCGTGTCTTCAACGACGGCTCGTGGGCGGTTCTTCGAAGTCCATATCTTTTAAATAAAAAACAAAATGTTTATTTCAATAATTTACATTTTACATTAACAGTGGATGGTAACTTCTATTAAGTTAATCAGTACTACCCTGGACGAGCACTTTCACAAGGCCCTCTACTGCTGCTAAAGTACTTATTCCACGCAGGCACATGTTAGTACATATGTCATAATTAGGGCTCGGATAAATATGCAGTATAATCATTGACTTACAAATAAATGCACGACGGGTCTAATACAAAAACCACGAAAAAAATGTCCCAAGTCAACCTATTTAAATGTAGTGACATGTAAAGGAATATGAAAAAGCTAAAACGTTGAATTTAAATTGTAATGTCATCGCAGTACTGTCTAATTTTGCTTGCTTCTCTGTCAGTCGATCAAACGAAGACTAAAGCGTGAATGACGCTCTGTATACGATTTTAACGCCCGATAAGTTCGGACACTTTTTAGCGCGGACCCGACGTCCATATAATTGTAAGTCAATGAGTATAGTCTACAAAATATTATGTACATATAATATGGGCATAAACTCTTAAAATATGGAGATAATTTTTTCTGAGTGTTCTAATTATAACAAACTAGTGGAGTAATTTCACATAATAAATAATTGAATATCAATTCAATAAAAATTGAAATACAGTGAATAGCGATATCTCTAGCCGGGGCTGGTAGCTGTAAAGATATCTAACTAGGTGACAAAATACTTTCATAGAT